CCCATGGACTGCAGCACACCAGGCTTTCCTGTCCTTCACTGTCTTCCAGAGTTTGCTCAAACTCATGTCCATTGAGTCGGTGATGTGATCCAGCCATCTCATCCTCTGGCTCCCCCTTCTCCTGCCCTCTATCTTCCCAACATCAGGGTCTTAAAAAACAGTGGATATATGTATAACTAGTTCACTTTGCCATACAGCAGAAGCTAGCCCAACAGTGTAAATCATCTACACTGCAATTAAAAGTAATTTAAAAAAGAAAAGCATGCATTGCATTTTACTTTAGATAAAGAAATTGAGCCATTCTTAGAAGTGTTTTTCTGGAGGACCTTCAGGAAAAGCCAAGCACCTCTTGAGTAAACTTGTTTAGAGTCATTTATTGAAATGTTAGAACATTTCAAAACGTATCTGCAAAAAATGTTGCACCAGAATTATCTCTCTAATTTGAAAGAGAATTACACATCAGTACATTGCCCAAATAAAACTAAGATTTATGCTTCTTCCTGCTAAATTATTTGTACAAACAGTGGTAACTAGTTCTGGTGAGATGATTCTTTGCTACTGGTGAGAGTATAATAGGTAAAATTCTTTCTTAAAGATTTATAAAAAGTAAAAGCATTAAAATGTTAATGTAATTTACCCTAAAATTTATCTCTGAAGAAGCATTTTGCTTTCCTAATGAAGAAGTTAGAATTATGAACCAGATTTGTCCATTTGGAATAATTTTTCCAGCAGTGTTCATAATTGTGAAAATATATGGAAACAGAAATAACTTACAGAATAATAAAATTAGCTGTGACCACTCAGTTTCAAAATGATGTAGTTAAAAATAGGAATGCAGTCGGTTTATACTATCTTACTCCCATTTTATAACACATAGAAATATTTATTTACTCAAAAATATGCAAAATATTATCAGTTGGTATTTGAGGATTATGAAGTTACATGCTTTAGTTTTCTTTATTATTTTTGGCATCTTGTAATTTTTCTCAATGAATATGACTTACTTTTATAATTATGAAAATTTCATTATTAAGAGACATAACAAAAACTTGAATTTGTTTCTTTTGAAACAATTCCCTTCTTTGGATAGAAATGAGGGGTAAAAAATTGCTTTGACCCAGAATTTGAGTGGGGCTACTCGGTGCTTGAAAAGAACATTTTACTGATGGACTAGAAAATGTGTCACCAAGTATTTTGCTTCTCTGGTGTTCTGGCATTTCTCAGTCCTGCCATGAAGGGAATGTTTAAAGGAAGTTGTCATAGTAGTTCATTCTTCGGTATTCACGTAAGCCGCATCACTCTATTTTTCTCTTCCTAGAGGCCTTTCTGTTTTCTTTTCTGTGATATTACTGGAGTGAAGTCACTAAGAGCAGAAACTACATTCAGAAGGGAAGGGGACTAATTCCAGGAAACACTTTGTCTTAATTCATCCAGATAACCAAAGCTAACTCATGTGAAGCTGAGAAGATCATTTTTTCTATACATAATTATCCCTTTTGCTCACTGTATAGAAAATCAGTTCAGTTCAGTCACTCAGTCGTGTATGACTCTTTGAGACCCCATGGATTGCAGCACACCAGGCCTCCTGTCCATCACCAACCCTGGAATTGCTCAAACTCATGTCCATCAAGTCAATGATGCCATCGAACCATCTCATCCTCCTTCGTCCCCTTCTTCTCCTGCCTTCAGTCTTTCCCAGCATCAGGGTCTTTTCTAAGGAGTCAGTTCTTTGCATCAGGTGGCCAAATTGTTGGAGCTTCAGCATCAGTCCTTCCAATGTACATTCAGGACTGATTTCCTTGAGGATTAACTGGTTTGATCTCCTTGCAGTCCAAGGGACTTTCAAGAGCCTTCTCCAGCACCACAGTGCAAAAGCATCAATTCTTTGGCGCTCAGCCTTCATTATGGTCCAACTCTCACATCCATACATGACCACTGGAAAAACCATAGCATTGACCAGGTGGAGCTTTGTTGGCAAAGTAATGTCTCTGCTTTTTAATATGCTGTCTAGGTTTGCTATAGCTTTTCTTCCAAGGAGCAAGTGTGTTTTAATTGCATGGCTGCAGTCACCATCTTCAGTGATTTTGGAGCCCAAGAAAAGAAAGCCTGTCACTTTTTCCATTGTTTCCCCATCTGTTTGTCATGAAGTGATGGGATCAGATGCCATGATCTTAGTTTTCTGAATGTTGAGTTTTAAACCAGCTTTTTCACTCTCCTCTTTCACTTTCATCAAGAGGCCGTTTCAGTTCCTCTTCGCTTTCTGCCATAAGGGTGGTGTCATCTGCATATCTGAGGTTATTGATATTTTTCTATATAAAGAAAATGTGAAAGTGAGAGTCACTCAGGTGTGTCCAACTTTGCGAATTCTCCAGGCCAGAATACTGGAGTGGGTAGCCTTTCCATTCTCTAGGGGATCGTCCCAACCCAGGGATCAAACCCAGGTCTCCTGGATTGCAGGCAGATTCTTTACCAGCTGAGCAACAAGGGAAGCCCATATCAAGAAAATGGGGACCCAATATTACTAGTATTGGGCCCAGTATTAGTATTAGACCCAAGATTAACAGTATAGAAAACAGGGACCCAATATTCCTGAACAGAAGCGCATTGTCTCTCTCTCTCTGTTGGTGCTGATTTAAGTGTGTGGGTGTAGATGTGTGTTGTGTGTAGCCCCTCACTGTATTCCCCTGTGTGAGTTTGAGGGGAGAGGGCTGGAAGAGAAGCTATTTCTCCCTAGTCCTGCCCTTCCTGTGGGGCATCCACGGCACAGCACGTGGGTGGTGAGGCTGCCAGTTTGTCGTTTGCTGGTTGGAAACCCTTGGTATAAAGCCACGTACTTTTATTTTTTTTTATTTATTTTTTTTCATTTATTTTTATTAGTTGGAACCTAATTACTTTACAATATTGTAGTGGTTTTTGTCATACATTGACATGAATCAGCCATGGATTTACATGTATTCCCCATCCCGGTCCCCCCTCCCACCTCCCTCTCTACCCAGTCCCTCTGGGTCTTCCCAGTGCACCAGGCCCGAGCACTTGTCTCATGCATCCAACCTGGGCTGGTGATCTGTTTCACTATAGATAATATACATGTTTCGATGCTGTCCTCTCGAAACATCCCACCCTCACCTTCTCCCATAGAGTCCAAAAGTCTGTTCTGTACATCTGTGTCTCTTTTGCTGTTTTGCATATAGGGTTATTGTTACCATCTTTCTAAATTCCATATATGTGTTAGTATGCTGTAATGTTCTTTATCTTTCTGGCTTACTTCACTCTGTATAATGGGCTCCAGTTTCATCCATCTCATTAGAACTGATTCAAATGAATACTTTTTAATGGCTGAGTAATATTCCATGGTGTATATGTACCACAGCTTCCTTATGAAACCTTATGAATTAAGTTTCAATTATGCCTTCCATTACCTGCCAGTTACTTTCATGTACATCTGAGATCCCAAACTGGGCTGTACTTACCCCACCTGAGTCAGGAGACCCTTGAAGCCTCAGGATCTTTAGAAAGATTCTCCATGTTTGTACCTTGATGTCACATAATTCTCTGGAACAGTGTTTAAAAAGATAAGTTCATTCATGTTTGATTAGTCAATAGGATTGCTTTCATACCTGAAAGTATGAGCATGTCTTAAAGTTTCATTTTTGTTTGTTTGCCTTTGCACCGAAATTAATATGAGCCATTGGTTTTATCTTAATGATAGATCCTAGAGTGAAATGTGTAGTGTCACCAACTCCAGCCCAGAACCCTCACAGAAGAGGATACAGCTTAACATGAAGAGAAATCTCTTATAATTAAGAATATAGAAATGACCTTTTTCTGAATAAAGGGACTAGTATGATTTAAAGCATTTAAAGCTAATGTTTCTCTCCCTATTCATTTCTTTTATACATAAGTCATTTATAGGAAAAAGGGAGCAGCTAGTGAAAAATCCTGTCTTGGAATTGGTAAAGCAATGTGTTGGCTTTCATTATGCTTGTGGTTATTTGATATAGTAGTCTGAATCCTGGTTGCTAACTGCGTATATGATACACCCACGTGGGTGTTTAATAAGCATTTCAAACTCCACTTGCCCAAGGCAGAGCTCTTGGTTACCCCACAGCCGACAGCCCACTCTCCCATCTACCTGGTTGCTCAAGGAAGGCCCCAAGAGTTATCCTCAATTCTTCGCTCTCTCTGTCCCCACAGCCCATCTGCCAGCAGTTCTACTGATACTGCTTCCAAAACGTGTCACTAAATGTCTGGCCTCTCCCCATCGCTGCTGTGACCTCCCTGTCCAGTCACCGTCATTCTTTTTCTGGACCGCTGCCCCGGTCTTCTGGCCCGTCTCCTTGCTCCCTTGTGACCTATGTTCTACCAAGCAGCAAGAATCACCCTTTAAAGGCTGCCCACCCCCATGTAAAGTCATTTCCCTGTCTGAAGTCGTGAGCTGGTTTTCCACAGTGGTTAAACTAAAATCCTGACCCCTGTACCCTGAGTGGCAAAGCCCTTTGGACGCAGCCCCGCTGCCCCTCTGGCCTCAGCTGCGCCAGCTCTGCCTCCTCACGGTGCTCTGTTCTCTGAGTAAGCCAGCCCGTCAGCCTAAGGGCCCTCTCCCAAACCCGGAGTGGGGTTTCCTCATCTTCCCATGCTGACCTCCTTCTAGCATTTAGAACAGACTCCTTGGATAAATTCCTCACGGAGATATTTCCTGAACACCTGATAAGGTAGAAGTTTCCACTAGCTCTGCTCCCCCTGCAACTCAGGCACCGTTTGTCACATGACGCTCTTTTATACTGCTTAAATTGCTGGGATAACATATAGCCATCACCAGCACCAGTGCCTAAGGCCGGTTTTATAGGACCGATGAGGACAGGCTCCCGTCTGCTTTTTCACCACTGTGTCACCAGGACCAAGGGAAAGTGCTCAGTGTTACATGAACAGGTTTTTTTCAGATGCTATATAGTCTTAACACGGCAATCAACAGGTTGTTTCTGCCTGTTCTGTTTTTGTAGCAGACTGGATTGTATGCGCATAAGGTCTTTGGTGTTCTGGAGGACTGCTTACCAGATCTGCTTGCAGATGTCTATATGGACTTAGCCTATAGGAAACAGTGGGACCAATATGTTAAAGGTGAGTGACACAGTTTTTAAAAACCAATTAGAAAGTAGAATCCCATGTTATTTATTCTAGCCATTAGTAAGCAAAAGGTATAAGTTTACTGTATTTTTCACTTTAAATTTGAGCAAACGCATCTTAAAGTGCTAAGTCAAATGTGACTGCTGTTCTCAGGGTTTGTTCCTTGCGTACTACTAAAGTCACTCTCCAGTTCGCTCTGACGGCTGCTTTGCTCTCATATTAAGTGGTGTTGTCATTCACAAACCTAGGAGATCGTGGAAGGCTTCTTGGAAAAGGTGGTACTGAAGCTTTGCTTTAGAGGTTGAATCCACGTTTTATAAACATCAAGATTGTATATATATTTGTACATGTGAGCAGGTGAGGGGCTGAGAGGTTTAAGGGCGTTCAAGGCCGAGGGGACGGCATGAGTAAAGTAGAGAAGGCATGAAGCAACATAAAATGTTAAAAAATTGGGTGCAATTGAGTAGTTGGGGAGCAGAATCTGGAACTAGGCTGGAAGGTGGGCCCAGAGCCCCAAGGACCTAAACTGACCACCAGGCTAGGGTTCCTCGATTTTTCCCTGGAAGTAATGGAGAGTTATGAGCAGTGATAGATAGAGGATCTTGCTGCCACTTAGAGCGGGGAGTAGTTTCTACCATCCCAGTCAGTCACAGTGAAATAAATACAGCTAGCCCAGGGGGCCAGACATCTTGACAGAGCCTTTCTGTGGGCAGGAATCTTGGTTGCAAGAAGCAAAAGCTAACAAATGCCAGTGTGAGAAAAGAAAAAAGCATTTTTTGGTTTGGTTTATTACATTGAAAATGGCATGTGTGTCTCGTTCCAGGTCAGCTGCATTCAATACTCCACTTCTCCAGCTTGACTGTGTTTCCATCTATGTGGACCACGTTATCAGGCAGATTCTTGTGTCATGACAAAGATGCCACCAGAAGATGCAGGCTTACATTCTCACAAAGTTCATCACCCCAGAAGAATAGGAATTTTCCCACTCATTGCATTCAGAGTCACAGGACAGGCTGTAATTGTCTCAGCATCGACCATGTGCTTGTGCACTGGGGACATTTATCATGATTTTTGGTCGCTTGGTCTTTCAAATAGGCTTCCTATGTAGGGGGAATTGTGATGCCCACCTGCCAAGGGTGAAGTCAGGCGTTCCCTGTCCATTTCCCTGGCAGCCGTGGCTCAGTCATGTACTGTGGACCTTGGCAGTTTGTGCCGCGTGGTACTTGGCATCAGACGTCCCCACTGGAATAAGGTCCAGAGGCAGCAGCAGTTTGACTTCTCTGGAGTAGTCCTGAGGTTCTTAACCTAACTCTAGTCTCCTCGATCTTCTGTGAGCTAGCTGACAGCCTTTATGAAAGCACTTTTGGCCTAAACTTAGAAGAGTGGCAAGCCGAGTCTCGTCCACACATACCTTCCCTAAACTAATCACCATGGCCATGTCTAGCTCAATTTTCCAGCCCTATAATTACCACTGAGTCACTTCTGCTTAAACTACATAGTGAAGGTGAGAAAGGTGATGCTCTGAAGGAGAATGAGATGCTGGTACAAGGACAGGGGAGTCAACGCCAAGCAGGCAAAGCAACAGATGCCCACTCATTCCCTTCCTTTCAAGGGCATCTTCAGCCTCTTGGACCAATGGACTGGCAAGCTCTTTACCCATGGTCTGCTTCTAACAGATTTTGTTATTTCAAAAGCTAAATTAATTAACACATTGGCAAAGTCAGTATTTCCTAAAGGGACTCTTTTGGTTCCTCCAGTGGACTTGGCTTGGCTCCTTCTCTAAATGGTTAATTAGAAGCTTCCCACACAGCTTAGAAGCTTCGTAGCATTCTTTTACTATCTCCCTCCAATTGCTGATGCTATTTGTGTGCAATAGCATGGTGGGTTGGTCCCTGTAAGTGGGACAGAAAGCAACATGGGAGATAGGCAAGAAACTTAGTACAGTTAGGCCACTTCCTAGCTTTTCAGGAAGGACACTGAACTCTCTGGAACCTTCATTTCTCAACTGAACACACCAGACTGGGTGGCTTAGTCCCAGGACACCTGTACTCAGTCAAGAAGTCTGAAGAAGGGAGAAGGGGCACAGTAGTGTGACTGTTGGTAATCTAATGACATCTAGTGGTTCAGTTCGGTTCAGTCGCTCAGTCATGTCCAACTCTTTGCGAACCCGTGGACTGCAGCTTGCCAGGCCTCCCTGTCCATCCAACTCCTGGAGCTCACTCAAACTCATGTCCATCGTGTCGGTGATGCCATCCCAACCATCTCATCCTCTCTCGTCCTCTTCTCCTCCTGACTTCAATCTTTCCCAGCAGCAGGGTCTTTTCAAATGAGTCAGTTCTTCGCATCAGGTGGCCAAAGTATTGCAGTTTCAGCTTCAGCATCTAGTGGTTACCCAGACTGTTAAACCTGAAATTTTATTTTAATTCCTAGTTTGGTTTCACTGAATTTTGAGACTGTCTGTGCTATATGATGAACAACTTTTGTTGGGTTCTTTTATTTTTACTGCATTTTTATATCTATTAGACTCTGCCTGTTGGCAACAAGCTTTCAGTGGTAATGAATCTATCAGACTTTTTCTAGAATTCTGTGTTTTATGAGTTAGTGTTTTATCATCCCTAAAGGGTTGGCAGCATATCAAAGCTTTTTCTGAATTGAAACCAAATAGACTTCCAGATTCAGTAACTTCTTTGTTTTGTTTCTTTTCTTAGAACTCTATGAAAAAGAACGCAATGGAGAAACAGTGGTCTACTGGCAAGTGAAGTACCCTTTTCCTATGTCTAACAGAGATGTATCCTTTCCAAAGGTGGACCGTTACTTAGCTTTCTAAAGTGCTTCTGTACCCTGGGACCATCACCCAGTGGTGGTGTGTCCAGCAGGTGTGAACACCGTTGCCTGACTCTTGCAGAAGCATCTGCTAAAGCTCTTCCTTCTTGTGTGGCTTTCAGAGACCTCAGAGTGTGACTTCTAGGCCTGATGACATGGAGCACCTATAACCGTGGTCACAGAAAGGCAGCTCACACTTTCTTGAAACTTTTCTGGGAAGCCCTTGTGCCACAGACTTGGGGATCTGAGAACAACTTTTCATAAAGAGTATTCAGTACATTCCCTCAGTCTATGGAGGAGAAAGCTGGGACCCAGAGAAGTCAGGCGACAGAGGCTGACTTACGTAGCAGCCGACTGGGGGCTGAACTCAGGCCCCACGTTTCCAGCTCTCTCCTCCTTCCCTCCTTCCCGATTATTGGCTCTGGACACTGTGTGTTATGTTTTTCCGCTTCAGTCTCCTCGATTATGATATGAAGCAGTTGAATAGATGTGGGGAGTTTTAGCTGACACTTCAGGGTTCTGTGACGTCCCCTTAGGGCCAGGCTAGGAGGTTTGATGGACATTTGCTGGGTAGACAGATTGGGTGGGGGTAGGTGTGATTTTGACCTCACTCTTTTCTTCAATCATAGCAGCTGATTGTTTTACACATTGAATTTCCATAAAGAATCCTTTAAATAGAGGATGTTGGAGATTAAAAAAAAATGCTTTGAAACCACTGCTGGATGACTGCTGGAGTCTTTTCCAGCTGTAGCATTCTGTAAGCCGGTATACTCCTGAATAATTGTGCTCTAGAAGGAGAGGGGGTGTGGTGATGAGTGTGGGTATTGTTCCTGTGTGATTGGTTACCCTGGCTCGGCCACATTACAGACTCCATAAGAGATTATTTCTTGGCACAATTCCCACAGACTGCTAAGCAGTTTGTATACAGGTGGTATGTATTTCAGCCAATTATGGTTACTTAAGCTTTTAGATTTTACATGGTTTTCTCTCATCCTGCCAAAACTGTGCCGCATAGGAGCCATCGTCCCCCTCAGACAGGGAAGAAAACTGAGGCCGAGGGACGTTCAGAACTCTGCTCGCTTCTCGGCGGGGTCTCATCGTTACGGGCGGCAGACGCAGGCGTGGACCCAGGTCCAGCTGTGTCCAGAGACGGTGATCTGGACCAGCGCAAACCCGCCTCTCTGACCTCACAGGACCCTGTGGGGGGCGTTCTCAGGAGCAGACACTTGGGGCTCCTTGCAGTTCTGCTGCATTGTCTTTCCAGTGCCACTCAATCCCATGATGAGTATCTCAGTCTCTGTATCTGCAGGGCTGTTCAGGTTTTGAGAACAGAGAACAGTGTAGGGAAAAGGGCAGTAGTTTTGGAGGGAAGGCTCCCAGGTTGCGTGCATGCTCACTGATTTGCTGTGTGACCTTGGAAAAGGGCCCTCACCTCCCTGGGCTTCAGTGAACGGGTGCTTCTCCAGTCCACCCTGGACCTGCCAACTGCTGAAGGAACCCTGTGAAATCGCAGTTAATCTATAGATTGTCTCCTCAGTGAGAGTCAGGGGACGTCCGTCATGTGAACTGAGCAAGCTGTGGGACAGTATTTGCTGAGGAAAAAGTGAAAGGCTTAGGAGGGAGGAAATCCAGAGCTAAGGCGGCATCATTCCTTCCTGAAAACATGTAAGCACTTTACTCGTCAGGGAGTAGTGTGTGGGGGCGACGGACGTCCCGCAGCGTGCCTGGGGAGGAAGTCTCACCAATCAAATACAGATTCCATCACATTAGCTGGGCTATGGGATCTTCTGCAACTTTCTTTACTTCTCTGTGTCTCAATTTTGTCATTTATAAGACAGATTTATATTTATATATTTATATAAGACATACTTATAAGACAATAAGATGTCATAAGATGTCATTTATATTTACACTGAATTCACAGGGACTTTCTCACTTTCAAAGCTGATGCTAAATATAAAGCACATGATATATGTACGTCATAAGGGCTCAATAAGTGGTGACTCCTGCTGTTTTTTAAAATCGAATTATCTTCCCTGTAATAGTGCCATAGACATAGTGGCTGGTCTGTGAGTGTTGAGATGAAATGGCTTTGTGATTCTTGGTGAACCAGACCCAGTGAGGCCATCTGCCTACTAATTATTTGGTTATTCATGTGTCTTCCTATGATTGCCAGGTGTAAGCATCCTTGCCTGACCATCCTCTGTACATAGAGGTCAGTGATTAGGGCCTTTGCGGAAGGACAGAGAGCAATGACCTCATTGTCTAGTGAGTGAGATTCTGCTTCAGTCTCTCTCCCATGCTCCCACCAAGCTTATTTGCAGGGCAGTGTTACCTTTTTTTTTTTCTGTAGAGGGAAACCAATAGCAGAAAAGTTGAGTAGCACGCCCAGGATCACACAGCTGCTAAGTGACCAATTGTCTGAGATCTCATTGCCTTCTTGGAGAAAGGAGGACTGGGTTCCCCACTTAACTAAAGCAGCAGGGAACCAATCTCCAGTGGGTAATGCATCCTCTCAAATGATGACGCCAGGTGGGAGGAGCCAGACTTTCCTAAGGTGGGTTGGCAGACGGGGCGGGACCCGAGATAACAGAAGGAGGGGGCAAACACGAAGCGGAGGAGTGGAATCATGTGCCGTTGTTTCTGCTGTGGGCTTTCAGGGGCAAACACGAAGCGGAGGAGTGGAATCATGTGCCGTTGTTTCTGCTGTGGGCTTTCCTTCCGCTTAGCATCTCAATGCAGGCCTTGCTGTTGTGCCTTGACCGGCGGTGTAGTATGTTTACGTGCGGCAGCGGCGAGAGCTGGATTTTGAAGGGCGGAAGGTCCACGTGATAGTGTCCCAGAGCACCTCTGAGCCACAGATTCCGGAGAAGTCGGGTGTGATCCGGGTGAAGCAGTACACGCAGAGGCTGGCGATCCAGAGCGATGGCAAGAGGGGGAGCAAAGGTAAAAAGGGGCACGGGTTGGGGTACCTGCCAGGACTGCAGGCGCGTAGAGTACAGGATGCTGATTCCCGGGGGTCAGAGACTGGACACGGGTCCAAAAGAAGCAAGAGAGAAGCATTTCATCCCCAGGAACTTGGGTAGACTAGTATGTGGATCAGTTCATTCTTTACTGACTCTTGCATTGTCTAGATGAAATTAGGACACCCAAGGGAACCAGAAGGCTTAGAAACTCACTTTGGGAAGGTCCTGTATATGCACAAGCTGGACAGGGGTGGCCAGGAGGGCTGGTGGGACCACCTCTGGGGAGGCAGCTCCTCCTCAGCAAACACCCAGGGACTCGGAACCTGTCTGCCTTGAGTTCCAGCCTCAGAAGACACAGTGGGGCAGAAGTTCCGTGCAGCCACCTGCTGACCTGGAGTGGGTGTGGACTTGAGGCTGAGGCGAAGTCTAAACTTAGTTGTGATGTGTGTTAATAAGATGTGCCGCTTTGGGCATGTCATATACTCTTCTGAATCTTCACTTCATCATTTATAAATGGGGGTTTAATCTTAACAACTTCTTAGGATTAATATAATTAATGAGAGCCGTAATTAAATGAGAAACTGTATCTAAGTGTATTGCTTGCCAGGTGATTAAAAAATAGCCACAGAAGGTGCCTTGGCTATTTTCCACAATGTTTCTGTGTATGTCTCCTGTAAGGCACGGCAGAGGGGCCAGTCTCCTGGAGTCCTTGTGACTCGCCTCCTTACTTTCTGGGCTGGATATGAAAGTGGAAGGTTTGCAGGGTTTGTACTGTATCTTTCTAACAGGTTCCCTCCTGAATTGTTCTCTCTCTCTCTCTCTAGTTTACATGTATTACTTCGATAATCCTGGTGGCCAGATTCCGTCCTGGGTCATTAACTGGGCTGCTAAGGTGAGACCCCAGGAAGCAGGAGGGGAGGTGTGTTTGACAGCTGTTGACTAACCTGTGGGGCTGTCAGCTTGAAGAGCTGTGCTGTCTCAGGCCTCATGATGCTCTTTTATGAAACACCTTGGTTGATGGACTGTGTTAGGCCTGGGGTGGCCAATACCCAGGACAGAGGCTGGGACAAAAGACAGACTTTAGAAGGAACGCCAGCCCCACCCTGCTTTGCACCAAGACCCCTCCAGGATCACTGTCTGGAACCTCCCAAACAGTAGCCTGTTCCTTGTAGGAACAAGGGTGCCTCTGGACCCTGTATCTGCTCATGGAGGAGTTAGGCTGACCTAGCTCAGGAGACAACCAACCATATTCAAGCCTGGAGAAGTCTCCAGGTTCTTTATGGTTATTTTGTTTTTCTGTAAGGAGAGGGAACCCCAGTGGTACCCAGGTCATTCAAGACTGCCTAGAACCTAGAAACATGCTGACCATTCAGCCTGCTTTGTAAGGTCCTAGTTATTGGGGAGAGAGCTCACCAATTCCCTGGGAGAGTGAAAAGGGAGAGTGAAAATCAAGCACAAGATGGTTTGAATCTTGGCCCTGCTTCTGACTGCGTAATCTAGAGAAACCATCAATTTCTTCCCCTTTAAAAATGGAAATGGATAGCCCCACCATGTAGAGGAGTAAATAGAACAATGTGTGGGGAATTTCTTAAACAGTGATCAACACTAACTAAAGGATGGCATACCCACTCTTGCCCCCCAATCCTTACCATTGTCTAATTTTATAAAGCAAGTCTTTCTTCTCATTTCTTTCCCCTGCAATGCCACTTCTGTTTTATCTTTCCTTTCCAAAAATGATAGCTCATAAGTATCTTAGCTTTTTATTAGGAAAAGCGAAAATGTGTAACAAGGTCTTACAACAGTGGCCCCTGCCTTACCCGTGTCCTGCGTCTTCCCTTTTGTCATCATCTGTGGCAACACACTGTGGAAATCTGCTCAGGGCCCCTGTTGTCATATTTATATTCCCAAAGCCATCTTCTTTCACCTTAGCCACATCCTGAAGAATCAGGAGTCATCGCTGTGAGGATACAGACATGATGGTCTCCTTTACTTTGCAGAATGGAGTTCCTAACTTCTTGAAAGACATGGTGAAAGCCTGTCAGAACTATAGGAGAACCTAGGGGAGAAACGTGGGAGCTCCGTGTCCGTGGGATGCTGTTCATGGAATGACGTTTCTGGAAGTGCGACAGCCACTGATGCTCAGCCTGCCTTTCTCTTTCCCGTGCTCAGAGGCCTGCACACTCTCTAGCAGTTTGTCCTCGAGCATGTTTGCTGGACATCTGGCTTCCTTTCCCAGTCTCCCCACCCCGGGACCTACTGCCTTTCTCCACTGTGGAATGTGGGTCAGATTATAGAAACCTTTGTTTGTTCTTAAAAAGTAGAATCCTCAGTAGGGAACACAGTCATTCCATTGTGCCATTCTAGGGGGATGGTGAGTGGAGGACTAATAATGCTGCCTAAGAGTGACTGATCCCAATCAGCTGGCTCCCTCCCATCTGTGAGTTGTTGCAATCTGGGAGGGTGATTTCCTACTGAAGTTTCATTGCCTTCAGAGCTAACTGTCAGGGCTCCAAGACTGGAAGACTCATGTCCGTTTGCCTTATGCTTTGCTGACTTGGATTGCCTAATTTGAGATAATCATCTACTAAGTCCCTCCCCATTCCTAGTTGGGGAGGATCATAGGCTGTTCTGATTTCAAACCATTTTGATAAACATTGCAGACCTAACTGTGTGGCATGATAACAATTTTTTCTCATCATCCGTGTTTGGGTTTTTCTTTTTCCCATATGCCCCTGGGGAGTGCTGTCCATACCTCACTAGCTCTGCTTTTAACTGGACACTGAGGCATCAAGGCAACTGTAGCAGTTAACAGAAGGCAGATTGCTTTGCACATAGCATTGAGCTAAAGTGTCGTTATATGGAACAAATGAATTTCCCTTCTGAAATGTTTGGAGACATTGAAAGGATAGGAGTTCACAGCCAGAGAAAATGTATTAGTGGTGTGGTTGACTCTACACCTTTTTCTCAGGAATTCTATCTAAAGTTATCTGCCTCTCCCACCAACCAGAAGACTTCTCTTTTCCTACTTTTCTCTTGAATTTTGGAAGGAAAGATATTCTCTGGACAAAGGTACAGCCTTATAATCTCAGGGAAAAATTTTAATCACTTCTATATGATGGTAACAAACCTTAATTACAGGGCCTAAAATTTCAGGATGTAAAGCTGGATGTGGGAGATTTGTTAAAACGGGATACCTCAGACTGTGTCTTTACTCTCTGGAAAGGGAGGTGCATTGAATACCAAATAAATACAGAATGACTTATACTTGTCCTGTCTGCAGTCTCCTTTCTGTCTTGTTCCCTGAGAATGAGACTGTTAGGTCTCTTTGGTTTGCAAGTGAAATCCAACATAACTCATAGCCCTGAACATAAAAAGGGATTTTAGGCTCACTTATATGCAAGGCCAGGTATAGAAGGCCTCAGGTAAGATGCTCAAACTGACATTAGGAATCAACTCTGTCCTTCTTTAGGGTTTCTTTAATGTTGGGCTGTGTTTGGTGGCAGGAACGCTGCTAACAGAAAGTGAAGGACCCACATCTTCCCGAGTTCACACCAAGTCAATGAAAGACAGCATTTCTTTACAGTTGACTGTGAACCATCCCATGATTCCCTTTAAACCATGTGTCAATCCCTGCCCCAGACACTGGTCATAGGGATAGAGTTATATACATAAGGGAATGCTTCATAAATGTATCATTAAAATATCACTATCAGTAATGTAGCTGGAATTTAATTTTAGGTAAAGTAAATCTGAATGTCATATGTAATAGAGATCAAGGTGATTTTTTTTTTTTTTAATGTATAAAGTCATTGAAACACAAGCACTAGGATTATAGTCTTTGAGCAAAGACTCCACATGAAGTGGTGTCATGCAGACTGTATCTTTAACAGTGTTTAGTAATCTGCTAAAAACACTGAGAATACTAAGCATCCTTAATTTCTTGGTAATGTGATTTAAAAAAAATCACCTAGCTTGCTATAATTAGTAAAGGCCCTTTGGTGTTCATGCTTGCTAAGTTGGAGATGACAGTGCTAAGCAGCACTGAAAACTGAGATTGTGTGGGGACTGAGGACCCCCGAGCCAGCAACCCCAAATGCCAGCGACCCCAAAAAACAGACAGGGTGCCGTGAGGTTTAGCTGGATTCTTCAGGTTCTGACTCTGCAGGGTTGGAGTGTATCATTTGGAATTTGAAAGTTATAAGGGTATTGTCGTTCATCTAACCACTTTGCTTCACTCGTTTTCTCATGTCTGTCTCTCTGAATAGACAATAAGATCTTCATAGGTAGAAACCCTTCTTTCACTTAGATTACTGACCCCTAACAGAGTGTATCCTAGGCACTCAAATGGTATCTAGTGAGTGACTTTAATGATTTGGAGAAGATTGACCAAATGACACACCACCCAGAAGGGAAAATCTATTCAGATAAAGACATTTGATTTGATTACATTAAACTCTGCTTTAATATTTAATAATTTAACTCAAGACAAATTATTTCCCCAAGTGATCATTTTAGTGGTTCTATGTGCCGTAGATCTCCTTAGTCTTTTCTTGAAAGGCCCATGTTAAGATGTGGCCTTCTGGCGTGGCTACAGGTTATACTTCAATGTTATGGAAATGGCTCAGTCTGGACTGAGTTCAGTTGAGATTAGTCAGGATTTCAGGATTTTCATGATGAAAGTAGCATTACTATCACTGCTAAATTTTCTTCCACAGGTGAATTATTCACACTGCATAGCAGTTTAAAGCTAATGACGACCTTGGAACTGAGGAATTCCAGCAGAGGGTCACTTCCTAAAAATGTTCTATATCACAGTGAAGGCCCTGCCCTGGCTCCCTGGCTGAGATTCCCTCACCCAGAATCCCCACCTCTAATGCCTGCCCTTCAAAACTCCTTCCCAGCAGGGTTTGAAAGAGAGAAAGCAGGAAGAGCCCATTCAGTTCTCATGTTCCTGGTGGAGGAACCGCCCAGACAGCTCAGAGAATTATCTTTAAATGCTTTGAGATCTGTATTCACTTCACAGATATTTCTCAATGGTCTGGCACCCATCTGGCCAGGGGACAGGCACGGTAGACCATTGGATGAGTGAGACACCCTTGGAGTCACCCTCAAGGAGCTATGATCTAGTGAGGAAGACACAGTGGGGAAGCTGTTGAAGGATGATGAGTTGTGAGAAAGGGCAGGTAAAATGAGCAAGAGTCTAAACCTGTGGCACTGACCAATTCTGAGGGCTCGGGGAGAACGTGTTGGAGTTGGCTGGATAGACGTTGGGAGAAGAAAGCTATTCCACATGGAAGGAACCATTTCCATAAAATCCCTCAAGCAGAAGAGGCAGTCATGTTGCAGGACCATCCGAAGGCCAGTAGGTCTGAGCAGTGAGGGTGGAGGAAGGCATCTGCTGTGTGGCTGAAGAAGCAGGCAGTGAGGCTGCGGGAGATCCTGAGATACGGCAAGGACTTTTACTTTATACCCAGAATACTAGAAAGCTTTGGAGGATTTTAGGCTCAGCAGTGACCTGATAAGACATATTCAGTCCTAATGGCTGCTCATTCCCCCACGAGTCTCCACCATCTCCAGCATTCCTCCAGCACCACCATGGTGCTCTCCACGCTGCGGGAAGCCTTGTCATCCCGAAGCCTCCTTACTGTCCAGCAGTGCATTCAGTACCCACATCCAAACCTAGTGTCTAAGGTGGAACATCAGCCTATGAAGTTTAACCAGAGAAAAAGGGAAGCAGGGAACATCCATGCCCTGATGCCCTGATGCTCCTGGCCCATGCTGCTGTCAACATGCCTTCCAGTGTGACTGCATCATGCATGCTGTCAGAGCAGATTAGTGCAGGATCCAGAAGTGCTAGAGAAACAAGGAAGTCATGCAAAAAATAAGCAGGTCTGCCTTCCCCAAAGTTTACTTATCTATACAACTCCCCAGCTACAAGGAATGATTTTTTTTTTTTCTTCTTGAGAATATAGAAACACTTCGTCTGTTTAGGTTCTCAGAGTTTAGAACCAACAACATGGGAAGACTTCAAAAAACTGTTAATATTATTAATCCATTTGTATGTATGTTTCTGTGTCTATTTGGACACACATAATGCTTTCCATTCCATCAGATCTATAATGAAATAGCAACAAGGCAGCATGTTACATGAGTGTTTGCAAGTTCTCTACCTGGTATACCAGGTTCAATGCTAGGCAATGGAATAATTCATAAAGGGAATTGGCAGACTACAGAGGACATGGAATATGCACACAGTTTATGATAATGAGAGGATGTGATCACCACCAATCAGAAGGAAAACATAATATTCTAGGATTCTGTGGCTAATTGCTTTGAAAAACAAGACAGCAGGCCTCATATGGAGCCTTATGCAAAGCCCTGCATCCCAATCCAGGACTTCATTACAGTTTGGCTCTCCCAGAAATGGAATCTCAAACCAGTCCACGAGGAATTGCCTGATCAGAACTGGCTAATCTGCCTGATAGACCCCTCCCCTAAAGGAAAACAGCCTTGCAATAACAAGCATGCTGTTTTCCTAATATAACCTCCTTATTTCTGCTCCCTTCTGCCCACAAAAGTGTCTATATTTTGTACTTCCACTTGGTGCTCCTTTCTATCTCCTAAGGGTGATGCTACCCAATTGAACTGATTTTTGCTTAAACAAGTTCCTAAAAATTTTAATATTCCTCAGTTTATCTTTTAACCTTTCTGGTATGAGCAGAGGGAACTGAAGGAGACCCACCCCCATCCCAAAGGCCCCCAGAAGCAAAAGCAACTAGATTGGACACCTGCTGAGCCCTTAAACTCTGCTTTCTTGCTGTCTCTCGAGTTGGTGAGTAAGTCCCTCTCAGATTCTACTTCAATTGGACTGGGTCAAACTTAGAAACTGGACTGAATCTAGAGTCAGACTGGCTCTGTTAAGTTGGATTGTATCTAGTATGAGGCCTCAGGTAATAAAATTTTGTTTTAGGGCTGGACAAGCAGGCTAACTTTACCAAAGATAATTTTGAATCACAGTGGCCACAGTGGAAAACTTGTAACCTAGATAATCTTATCAAGT